ACTTCCTCGTGGTGATATGAATGTCAAGCAGCAGAATGAGAATTACAGAAAAATTTTCCAGAAAGTTCGAAAAGGCGCTGTTCGGCTTAGGGAGGGAGGGGGTAATTTCACACTTCCGCTAGTTTCTGCGGCTAGTTCCTGTTGAATTACACATTTCACCTTGGGGATAATTATGGACTCTTGTCAATCGTAAACGAATCGTAGCTTCACAGGACTTTACAGGCCCAGGGGGCGTGGGCAGCGATTGATGGGAAGCAACAAAATGCTCCCACCAAAATGCGCGCTCAAAAATTCACAGTTCTGTTGACCAGTTCCAGTTTAACTTTCAGTCTTGTTCAGTTTCTCCTGCTTTCAGCTTGGTTCCAATTCCAGTTTTATAGAAATACTGAATATTCAGGTTGTGGAGATGACAGCAGCCGGTGTTCGTGACGGCAAGTTTATCGATCCGGTGATGAAAAGAATTCGCCATGATAAGGACATCGATGAGGTGGACATAATGACGACGTTTTTGGACTACGAGGAGGTTAGAATACTGTGTTCGAGCCAGTAACTGAGTTCGAAAGCAGCGCGGAGAGGACTAGGTGCTAGTTTCCAACGCATTTTTTTGAAGAGAAAACAACGGGACCGTCAGAAAAATTTGGCCTCCTCCAAAGCCAGTTTGACTATACGGGCTGCTGGAACATCAGATTATCTCTGGACTTTTATTCTATGGCTCGCATTCATTTAGGAGCCCAACTGTATCAAAGAGGCTGGGCAATAGTATGTAGTTTGGCGAAAGCTTGGAAGGTAATTCTGGTGTAATTTCTCGGTAAGCTATCGACACCCGCCCAATTTCGTTTGTCTGGCTCGGCAAAAAAAAGCTCAGTTCACCAACACCATTGCATTGCTGTCAAAACGACAGTACACGCCACTGGCAGATTGGCAGGGAAACAGGAGCATATAAGTACGGATAAGCTTTATCGACTCAGCCTGAACTACTGATCTGAACAGTGAGTCAAGCCTACCGTGGTGCTTCCTCATTGGGGCACCACGGTAGCTCTTTCCTTTCTGAAGAGAAAAAAGAGGGGTTTGCCAGTGAGAGCGCAGTGGTAGGGCTACCTCCATCCTCTCTACGATAAGATCGGCGTGGACTGAGCCTTTAAGAATGGATTGTCAGCTTAAAGGCAGTTGGCACGATGGTTTCCTACTTAGCCTAAAATGCTAGTAGGGCGCTGTATAGTGGGGAAATGGCGAAAGAACGGAGTGAAACGGTCAAAATCCTGCGAAGAAAAAGCCTCCGTTCTCAGTGACTTGTAAATCGATTTCGGACGAGTTTCCCGTAGGCATCTTACCAATCACCGCTACCGAAGATACGGCTGCATATGTGTACCCATGTATGCATGCAGCATCACGGCCGCTTCATACCAATCCCTTCGCTTCATAATTTGCTTAGCAAATGAATGAATGCGAGCGTCAGGAACGGTCGTCCATTTGTGGGCGGGCGGGCGTGGTGGGCGTTTGGGACGTACACTAAGTTGTGGCTTGATAGGGCCCTTATAAGGCAGCCTTCTCGGGGAAACCGCTATGCAGCGCCTGCCCAGGGCCGCGGAATTCTATCCTGCCAGGAGTATTGGTCCGTAGTCTTGGGGATTTATGGTGCAATGGCCTTTAAAGTTACATCAGGTCTCGCGTCACTAGTTTCTCGTGATCCTTCTAACAATCTGTTAGCAATTTACTGCTGGAACTTTAAAAATGATGATCTGATAAAACATTTTGGTAGTGTCATTGAAGCACTGTATTGTTTTGTTTCTATTATAGACGTTATCGATGAGCAAACTCTCAAAAAACCTTACAAAGGAGAAAAAGAAAAAGGTCACAAAACGGATGCTGGCTGAAGCGAGTGAGTTTGGTCTGAAGAGTTTCGAGCTTCACTGTAGACGTTCCGTAGCTTCTATAGCTTCGTGGTATCCTGGGATGGGTGAGGCTCATTCCAGTGGAACTGAATAGGCATCGCTATTTGAACAAGTGTTCTCAATGTCCCAAAAGGGATTTTCATGAGAGAGATATCATAATATCACGAGGCGCTGATATCGCCTGCATAGTCCATGGACTGAATTCACCACTTCTAGCCCTGAGTTCCTGTTCAGGTTTCGGCTTCGGAGAGGTGCTCTTCAGTTCTAGATTGACTTCGAAAGATGCGGCATATCCCATTGAAATCAGACTGCAGAGATTCCCATCGCCCCTCCCCCCTCCTCTTGACTCCACCTTTCGTTAAGAAGTGGTGAAGTTCTGGTAAAGGGTTGGACGAATCCGGAAAGGTGAATGGGTAGGTTGTTCGGGAGGTCGCTAGAAAGAAAGTTTTAGATGGGTCGTACTGACACCGCCCTTTCGCTCATCCGGATGCTGTATTCTGATAGAAATTAGTTCAGCTCTCAGCATTTTGCCCTTCGTAGGGTTTCTGAGCTAGACTTCCTGCCGTGACGAGCATTCCTTAATTTTGGAGAACGTTTCTCGAAAGCAGTTGAGGCGTTAACTGAAGATAGTATAGTGACAGAATGCTTCGCTTATCAAGAAACGGTTAGGGGGTCACGTCTCTGATGGACTTCTGTCCGGTCCTAACAAGTATTGCCCTTCAAAGTCGGTCAGTGGGTACCAGACTTGTCTGGGAGGATAAAAACACCACCAAGTAACACCGCAAAATTATTAGGTTGTCCGGAAAGTTTTGAGAAAATTTCACACTTTTAGTTTGAAGAAGTGTAGCAAGCGAATGCCCCAACAGAAAATCATATATTAAGCGCTATGAGAAAGAGAAATGTTTGTAGATTTTTCTAATGCAGGTTGGCGTTATTTCCCATTGCTGACAATAGTTAATATTACCTGAAAAATGTGGTAGAACACACTCCAACGCCGTCCACTTCATCTTCACGGTTCTGGCTGCTCTTTCGGTCGAATCGGGAACGAGGCACCGTCACCAGTGCTAGATAGAAGAGGCTCAAAAACTATCTGTGATAGGAAAGTCGGCGCTGTTTGTCGACGGGGGGCATTTTGTACTACCCTTCCCTAGTTCCGGTTTACAAATCTCACCCTGGTAAAACTTGTGAACCCTTGTGAAGCTGGTGCAAGATAGTCTAGCCACCATCCTAAAACGTGTTAACTCGAGAAAAGCTACCTAGATGGGTCGGCACATCTATGGAAAGCAGAATGCCCCCCCCCTCCGCTGTCGACGAACTGCGCTCCCCAGTCGCATTCTTCGTTATATTGAAAGCTTTATTTATAGCTTAGATGTGCGCTACGCCCTCGCACATCCTCCGGTATCACTTAATCCTATGCACACGCGTGCACGCGATGCAATTCCGCCCAAAAAATAAGGGAACTGGGATGGACTATACTCATTATAAGCATGGATTTCTATCTCTTATTGTTCTTGATAAATGTTAAATGAGGTGCTGGAATTTCTCAAAACTTTCCGGACACCGTAATACATTCAGAAGGCCTTAGACTATGAATGGAAGCGGGATACGTTTTAAACCCCTCAAGATGTGATTATTCAATGTCAAAAACTTTGCTCTTTTCTAGTTTCAACTCAGGTGCCGTCCCGGAAAGTCGACGCGAAATATGTGCGTACTGAATCGCCTCTAGAAGGGACATACGGTATGTGTTCTGTTCGGGACTGACGAGCGACTACGCAAGCGACTTATGGAGATCTTGAAGAAATTTGGAGCGAATGTCGTCGCGAATCCAGGTCACGTATGGTTACTCTTTATATGTGAAAGCTTCCCTTTCTGCAGATTATGCTGGACGGCTTGCAATTCTGCTTCTCATTAAACATTGATGTGGTCGTTTTTAGAAGTTATTTTTCCAGTAGATGAAATGAGTCTGGTGGTCGCGACAACAGACAAACATGTCAAGACTCGAGCTGAAGTCAAAGCGGGGATGGCGACAGTGGTCCGTGCCAAGTGGGTACTCAGATGTGAGGAGCAGGGCAAAGTAGTCCCATGGTGAGATTTTGAATTAATCTAGCCTTGCGATTGGTTCTAGGACATTATTGAGTGTTGGTGAAAAGTATGGTTCTAGAGGGGACCTGCTCTAGTTGCAGTGCTAACGGCGAAGGCTGAAAACTGAAAACTGACAGTTGGCTCATTGAGCCAGTTACTGAGGGACGATAGGAATATTGATCCTAGATCTTCCATGTATCTCGTCGGCCTG